TAGCGCGACACCGCTTATATTAGATTTTGTAGTCATTTCTACGTATAAGGTTAATCACATTCTGAGATAGGTACCTGGAAAATAATATTAATTATACAGATTTTATATAGTAGCTGTATAAATATTTTTATATATAAATGAGAAAATTACAAAGAGAAAAATATATGTGTAAAGCTCTCTAATTTTACGACTTACATTTTACGACCATAAAAGGTCGAGTAAGGCGATTAGATAATTAATACAAATAAAAAGAAATGTGCCTTATGTCGTAAAATAGACTAGAAAGTTTCACCGTAGTTATATGACTTTTATATTGTAAATTTGTATTCAAAAATTATATTCAAGCGATGAATTATCCGTTAATCATAATATCATATTAAAAAGCCAAATCCTTACGCGAAATGCTTTCTCAATCGTATACCGCAAAAGAAATACATACATATTTACATGCATATATAAAAATAAATTTAATTCTACCCAAGCACATGTTAATTCGTTAAATTATATAAAAATACAACAATATATATTAAATATAACGAGTAACGATGATATGGTAAATAGATGACTTCATATATTTTACTACTTTTTGTACATAAAATTACAATAAACTTGCATATTATGCAAAGACACAACGCGTTCTCGCCTATGTATAGAAAGCTGCCAGTCTCATAGAGTACAAATAGTCGTTTCTTTGTAGCTGAGTTTACACATAAGCAATCTTCTCAACTGCTATTGTTACTTAAGGCGGACAAATCATAAATTACAGGTCGCATATATGCACGTGATTCGGATAATCGTTAAAAAATATGGATAGATTTGTTCAATTCCATACACGTTCTTATATGTAGCACAGCGGGCGTGATATTTGTTAATGTTATTTACACGAGAAAACATCAAGTCTCGATATACGTGATTTTATGAACGAAGTACGAAGATTAATGGTTCATCGCGTCTGTTGAAATCAATTTGTTCGAAATGCGAATTATCATTTATTACAAACAATACTGCTTAAATGTTAAAAAAGAAAAGAAACTCATCAAACTGTCGTTATTAAAATTAACCAAAGATTTTCATTAATTCGTGTCGATCGGAAATGAGGACACACTACTATTCGGTAGGTCTGTACAGCCCATATCTAAAAGCGGCAAATCCATCCGTTTACGTCTGCGTTCGCACTTTGGACACGGTTTGCTAGCGTTTAAACAGTCCGCGTGAAACACAGCGTTACACGCCCCACACTGTAAACAATCGAACGTCATAAAGTTAGCGCCTAGAGATAAGAGGGAAAGTAGTCGCGCGAATGACGAAAGATCAGTAACGTCGATATATCCGGTTACTTGGATAATCGGACAGTGAGATACTCGGATACCCGATCGTGTTGCGAATGATCACTCGTATTTCATGGTTTAGGATGACTCAGCAAAATTATTAATGGAATCAACAATCAAGTTACTCGTATTTCATGATTTAGGATGACTCAGCAAAATAATTAATGGAATCAACAATTTAAAATTCTTACCAGGCTCAAATATTATCTACTCTATCTTGATAACGCTGATAGGAATTATTAACTTTCTGATTGCTGTTAAATAACAAATTAAAGAACCGGGGAGTGGTGTTGACTTTTATCATTATTAATCGATTATTAGTTTAACACGTTCCGTGCCGGACCATTTTTATGCGATTTTCAACTCACGCCGATAAGCTTGATGAAATGCTTGATGAAATGTGTTATTATTTGGCTTATGTTTTTTCTTGTGAATCGGAAAATTATTTATTAGAAAAATGTTCATCAAAGTATAAAATGTTTAGTAGAACAGAACAATTGAGTTTATTTCAAAATTAAATAATTGAAGAATAACGAACAAGATATCGTAGAATAAAGCAGAACACGTTGAAGAAACTAGAACTTATCATGAGGAAAATAAAATGCATTTTACGAATGAGTGATAAGACAAATTATTTTATTATATATTTTGTCTTTCAATGACAAAAGCATCAGTTGGCGTGGAAATCGAGATCGTGGCATGAAACATGTTAATCTTGGGTGAAAGTTATCCTGAAGTAATAACATATCTTGTGAGAAAAATTGTTCTAATAATATAGTATTTCGGAAAAAATAAGAAATAAAATTAATTTCTGGAAAAATCGATAATAGACAACTGAATACCGCTCAAGCGTTACCGGAAATTTCTAGTCCCGAGTATCCAAGTATCCGGTTATTTTTCGGGTGGCACTGAATATCCGAACACCTGGCTATCTCGCCTGGTATCCAATTACTCAAGTATCCGACCGGTTCAGATAATATCCAATTATTTTTGGTAACCGTGCGATACTCGTATATTTCAGTGCCACCCGACTTACGCGTAGGAAACGCCACGAAAGAGAAATAGAGAGAAAAGGAGACGATAACTCGGTTGTTACTCACCCGGAATGTGGACTCCATATCAAACGGATAGATAACCTTTGGATTGTTACACACCTCGCATATAAAACCTTTCTGACTGCAGAGCCAGCAATTTATCACATGACCCCTCGCGAACTCGACGACCTTCTGGAGTTGCTGCGCGAGGATCCCGTTCGGTACGTCGAGAAGGTCTGAAACGGAATATTGATGAACGTGTTCGTACAAGTAGTCCCTTGGCGCGACTTTCTTTTGCAGGGACTCGATGATAGGCTCACGGCACGTGAATAAGTAAGCTCTAAGCAGATTCAGCTGTAAACGCAACGACTGCAACTGGGCCATGGTGTCCACGGCCTTGTAGATCCTCGGATTGAGGATCTTCATGTCCAAGAGGTCCGGCTTGCCCTGCAGATAAGCGGCGGCCTTCCGGCAAATCGGGTGATACCTCAGGTCCCAGTTGTGAATCACGCGGGACGGCACGAGATACTGCCCGTCCGCCATGCACTTGGAGCAAAAGTAATCGCCCGAGTACGAGCACACGTGCGCCTTGGAAAACGTCATGCCGATCGTTTCGCCGCACTCGTAGCAACTGTAATTCTGCACGTCCAAACCCTTCTCACGCGGCAGGTTACCCAACTGCTCGTCGAGATTTGTCACAACCTGCAAGTGAAGGCAGAGGGGAAAGAAGACGAGGCGTGTTTCAAGATACAAGCCGGCTTACAGAACGTACCTTCGACTCGGCCTTGGGCTCTTCGTCGACGGTCTCTCTCTTTGGATACTTCTTTAGGAATTCCTGCAGATTCGGCACCGTGCTATTCCCGCCGGTGTGGTAGCTCTGAATGAGCGCGTCGTACGTGGAACCGTCGCCGGGCGAGCAGGCCGCGTCCGTTGCCGAGCCGTGAGATATCACAGATGAAGTTAAAGAAGATTGGCACTCTTCGAACGAAGTGGACCATCCCATTCTCCCTATCAATGAATTGCCTACAGTAGTCCCGGCCATGTCGTTGACCATCTCGTTCTCCCTCGGAGCATCCTGCGACGACGACGAGTCCTCCGCATCAGCAGCAACGCTCGCGTCAGCATTCTTCTCATCCGCATTGCCGTTCGCCATCCGTTGCACCTCCCTGATCTGTCGCTTCTGCTCCTCTCGGCTCCTCATCACGACACCGTCCGTCAAATTGTCGTGTAACTCTTGTCGGTCGACATTCTCCTCCTCCGCTCTGCCCGGCGCAGCATCCGTAGAATTGTGCAGCTCTTGGAGGACACTGCTGGACTGATCATTGGCCAGGATGATCTTCAAGGCCTGGTCCTCCGAGATGGACGCTATGTTATTGAACATGGACTGCGAGGAGGCGAAGGAGCCCAAACTGCCGATGGAACTCGCGGTCTCTATCTCGTCGACGTTCTCATTGTCGGTCATCTCGGTGGTGATCGTTTTCGCGATGTCCACCGCGCTGAACACAGGGCAAGACTTCATCGGTGGCGACCAGATGCCAGCGATGAGCAACGGCGTGGTGGACCAGAAGTTCAAGAGGCTGCTGTTGCAGACCAACTCGAAGCGCACGTAATCCAGGGTCTCTATCAGCCTCTGCGCCACCTCAACGTAGTCAGTGTCCCGGATGTAGGCTGCACGGTTGTAATACGGCTTCAAGGCCGAGTTGTCCCGCTTTATGGCGCTGAAGTAGCTAGCTAACAGACCCTCGTTCAGGGCCATTCGTATCCAGGCGCGGCAGTAACCGACCTCCGTGGTGACCTGGCTCAGATCCTGTATCTGATTTATGATCTGGCGGTGAGAGAAGACCAACAGCGGGCCCCAGAAGCTCGGTTGCGGCATGGCGTCGAAGTCGGGCCCGCTCAAGGCCTCGGTAACTCGATTCAACAGGCTGTCCTTCAAGCCGTGCAGGAAGACAGCCTCTAACACGGAGCACAGGCTCATCGTCTCGTCGCAGTTGCCCACGACGTCGGCCACCCTGGGCGCGCTCTGCATCTCCATGACGCTGGTGCTGAGCTGCTTCTGCAGGGAGTCCCTGACGAGGAAGTTCCTCTTCCTGTTGATCGCGATGGAGTTGACCGTCTTCAACAGCGAGTTCATCTTGCGCACTACCAACGTACGTCGCAGCGGGAACACGTCTTCTACCGCGGTTGCGTCTATGAAGCATCTTCGCGGCCACCGTCCCGATGGAGGAGGAGACGATCACCCGGGATCGACCGAATCTCCCCTCCTGGCAGGACCTCCGTTCACCCTCCTCCTGGCCCAACGTCGACGGATCCGTCCTACGTAAGGGATCACGCCCAGGACAGGCGGCGGTCACGGCGATGGGGACACTGACAAAGAGACCAGGAAGTGCCTTCGCGAAACGATGAAGTCATCGTGCGACGTGCGATAGCGTAGTCGAACGCGTGCCAGACGAGAGTCCGCGCGCACGCACACACGGGCAGGCGCACGCGCGCGCAATCGGCCAGCGTTATCGGCCGATGATGCGTCCGTGAAGTAGGTTAGGTCCGGAGAGGACAAACAAAACATCCACGCGCGACGTAGCCCGCGCGCTCCTTTTCACCGGCTAAAAAAACGCACGCGCGAGAATTAGACGCGCGGTGCCGGAGAGTCGAGACTTTTTACCTGTCCGCGACGAGATCCCGCGTCGTCATCGCGTACCTTCTCGCTCGGCCAGCCACCACTCCCCGAAACGTCCTCCTCCTCCTCCGCCGTCAGTCAGTCACCGTCTCGTCCACCGCCAGCTGTTCGTCACTGTTGCGCACGCCAACTACGCGTCAGGCGGCTTTTCTAGGTCGCCTATTCCTTGATAATAGTACGCGGCCCGACGACAGGTAGCGCTGCTTCGCCCTAGTTACCACCGTAGTTACAGGCGGCGGCGAATGCACCGAGTGCATGGCCAGGTGCACCCTTATGTCTCGGCGCACTTGTCTCGCGAGGCGCGCGCTCGCTCGGGCTATTTCCAGCGGAACGCCGTCCTCTTCCACGTCCGCTTCGGCGACCGACTCGATTCTTTCCTCGACGGGAATAATGGAATGGAACGGTATCGAGCGACGGCGACTAATTTTACAGGGTACTCGGGCCTGATATCGGATGATGATTGGCTCGGCCGCAATTTCGAACGTGACGGTAAGGAATGTATAAATGCCCGAAAAATCGATGAGATTCTATTTATTCGGGCGAAGATTCCGCGCTTCCCAGGTAGGCGGAAACACTGTGGACATAGTACGCAAACATTTAGTGCATGCTTCGTCACGCTATTATAAGCGCAACGTGTTTAAAATATGCTTGTTTTAAGAAATAGTCATTTATTACGTTATAATTATAATCCAAGTATTGGCTTCTTATTATCGCAATGATTCCGGATTAATTGCATCCTCTTGCGGGCGGAATACCACAGCAATGTCGCCGCAATTTTCGCGGCATCAGATTGTGTTTTCTTACAGAAGAGTATCATCAGCTGTGATAAATTGGCGAGCAATAAATAGCGGTTTTATTACTACTCAGCGACAATAATTTATCACTGGCCAACTCATTACATCTATACTTTTCTGCAAGGATCTTATATATTGACGAAATGCTTGTACAAGGACGCAACGTACTTATGCTAATCACGGCGCAGACAAATGTTCTATATACATCCTTAGAAGAACGTCCCAGGAATATTCGAATATCTCGGGGACATTCCTAGAATGTCTTTCGCACATTTGTGCTGTTTGGGTGTACCGAAATATGTCTATCTGGGCGCTCTCGAGCAACTGGCTGCACGTGAAGCTCCAGGTCGAAGCGGGGAAATAAACGGGAAGGAAAGAAAGTTGGCGAATAATTCGTGCGAGACGCTGGCTAGAATTTTGCGTGCGATCTTGCGCAAAATTTGCGCTCTGGCGGATTTCCTCCTTTCCGTTCTTCCCTCGTTACGTCATTCGAGGAAGAGAGGCGTCGGCGTCGCCAAGAGCGAGTACACCGATCGCCCGTCTCTTCCAATCCGAATTCGAACTCGCAAGAACGAACTCGCCCGAACACGCGACGCGAGTCTAACGCGATCTAACGTGCAACGACGTGTCGCGCGATAAATCGACGTCTCAATCGGTTCTTTAATTTAATTGCGAAAAACCGCCGTGGACGCGCGGAGGAATTCATCTTGGCGTCGACTTCGCCAAGTTCACGAAAAGTTCACGGTGGAAATTACGTGCCGGGATATACGCGAGCACGCAAATCGGCCGGATACGTCGGCTTTGTGAAACTACCGCGCTGGTTGACGCACGCGAGTGGATTTTCGAAATTGATCGCACGCCGCCTCCCGAAGCGAATCGCCGGCACGGCGCCCTTTCCGTCCTTCTCCTATTCTCGCTCCTATATTTAGATACGCACTTAGTGCATCTCAAATGTTGGAACAGGTATACCGTGTGTGAATGACCGAATACGCATGACGGAACGATGCGTGTTCCCCGGTTTGACGGCGGTAGAGCGCCGCGGCGCACGAGGGAGAAGAAGGAAAGAGAAAGTGCAAGCCGGGGCGTACGGGCGTGAAGGAGATGGCAGGTCGGACACGAGGACAACGAAGCGAATAGCGGAGGCAGGGACGTACGAATGCTCTGGTATCCGTCGTTCCTCAAGCCGCTTTTCCTTCCCTCTCGGCGCTCTCCCGAGCGCGATCGAGGGTGACTTTCACCCGGCGAACACTCGGCGAATAATCGGCGAAATCGCCATCGAGAGCCATTTTCAGTTTGCGTTCGACTCTAACAATCACTGAAAAGTTAATCATCTCCGTCCGCGTTAGCAAACTGGAGCGGGTAACACTTGACCGAGACACACAAGGAGCAATTTTAAAACGTTCAATTAATCAGAGTTCGGTGAAAGTCACCTTAATGAGACGGAGGCGGCGAGTGCGAAAGCGCTCCGATTATCCCGATAATCGATGGTCGAGGCGGAAAATCTGTACACGCCGGGAAATCCATTTAGTTGACTGAAAATTATTGTCTCGACCATGGGCAAACGGTTATTTTGCTTATGAGAAGCAAAGTTTGGAGCCAGAGTGAGCCTTCCCTGCATCAAAGTATAGAAATATGCCCGCCGGTGAAAAGAATATATAAATGATCAGGGGAACACCCGTCTCTTTTGTACGCGTTATTGTGACGAAGATAAGGATATGTCCGACATATATATACTTCATTTTCTAGGACAGAATAGGACACTCCCACTCCTTGATGATTAACTCCAGCGTACTACGGAGCTCAATGAGATAGTCTCAATCACGCGACTTGTAACTGGGTCGGTTTTCTACGCTGAAAGAAAACAGTGTTACATTCAAGTAAATATTCGCTAAGGAGTATCGAGGTAATTATTTTGGATTAAGTAAATATTTATTTAAACGAAACACTTGTTTCCTTTCAATGTAACCGTGTGCATTTATTGATTATTCAAAGAAACGAGGATGATGTGTCGGAGCGACCGTGATGAGAGCTTTCAAAGCTCCGAAAGTTTTAGCGTGTGTTAACGCGGCCCGGAAACGAATATGTACACGTGCGTAACGCATGCAATACTTGATGTCATCTGATTTTGTTTACAAGCGACGCACGGTGGCACATATGTATCTCCGTGTGTGTGTGAGCGGATATATCAGAGGAGCCACACGGTGTTCCCTACCTAAGATCTGCGACTGAAAACAAGCGTGCCGTTTGACCCGCGAAATTTATCGCCCACTGTTCGCCCACTCGCGCGAAAGATACACACACACACACACGCGTGAGAAGTTCTCTCTCTCGCGAGCTTGGGAAATTATTATAAATAGATACCGCGTGCCTTCTTAAATTCCCAAGTGTGTTTCGTAACGCGGTTCGGCTCGGTCTCGTCGATTCGCGCCGATCCGCGCACACTTCCAAAGTGCGCGGCGATAAGGCGTATTTATCTTAAAGACACTTCGGGGGCTTTCTAACGGCCGGCGAATTTACTCTCGCAACATAACGATCGGCCCATTGTCCGTCCGTCTTTCCGTCGACGCGGGATCTCACAGCTCGGCCGTCGACCGACAAAAAGCTCATCTGTGTGCGCGGTTTACTCAGCGTTCAGCCGAACGACTTCGAACGACGACTCCTCCTCGGTAACGCGCGAGTCGATGCGTGTGTACATCAACCTTTGCATTCCCTTTGTGTCGTGCACCAGAGACAATGCGCTTTCTCACGGTGCGCCGTTGCGCACGAATTCTTAGCGCGGCGCACCGGCGTTTAGCGCATTTACCACGCTCCTCTATATATGCAACGACTCTAGAAAGCACAAGTGGCCGTGAGCGAAACGCGGCGCGTGATTTTCCCGCGTCCGAGCGGATACTCGCCGCATCGCTGCCGTTTTAATAAAGCCGCGCAGGGAGACACTCGCCCTCGCATCCGCTCGCAATTCTTTTTTCTCCTCCGAGGCACTCGGCGTGCCAAATATCGCGGATACGCCTTGCGCATCATCGCGCGAAGGGGCCGCGTCACGTCGCACCCGTCTTGTGTAATATTGCATTCCGGTATTGTTTTAAATCATCCCTTCGCGAGCGACTCCCAACGAGCGAGCATTTTTTCATCGATAGAACTCGTTACGGATGATTGCGGGATGATCGCGGGAGAAACAATCCTGTCGGTGTAACGGAGGAAACAAATTTTGCTTGAGCAGCAAATTGTTTGTCGATGTAGATGACGGCCGAAGAAAATTTTGTTGAACAGCAAAATTGTCCGGACAGCAGAAAGATTTGTTGAGAGTATTAATTACTGTTGGCTGGATGTATGGACAATTAATACTCTTAACAAATTTTTCTCTTGTCCAAACAAATTTTGTTTTCTTGCTGTCACTGTATTGACAAACATTTGCTGTTCTAGCAGGATTTGTTTTCTCCGTGTGAACTTTCCGTTATCTCTGTAGGCTTGTTTTATAACTTTTAACGACGATGTCGTCTGTTACTTTGCCTTTGTGCAGATCTAATATAGAAACGCTGCGCAACGTGACACTAACGATGCTGTCGTTAAAAGTTGCAGAATAGGACCAGAGTAAGAACGAAGACGGAAAAACTCGGTTGTAGGAACGGAAAGATTCACGTAGGAGGTTATTATATTCAGTGAGTTGCTCCCGTCTCAACCGAGTTTTAATACAACTGACCGTTCGGGCAAACATTTTCAGTTGCACTGAAAGAAATACCGTTTCTCGTCATCGAATATTTATTTCTTGTCGCCGAGTTTTCATCTGATCCTTACTCAGTTGCAGGAACTGAGTTTTTTTTTCTTCTGTGCTAGCTGTTAATCATCGATATAGTTATATTGCACACGGAGAAGAAAAATCCAGTTCCTGCAACTGAAAAAGAGACCAGGCAACGGAGAAAACTCAGTGACGGGAAATGATATTCCCGTTTTACCGCAACTAAGAACATTCGTGTGAGCATTCAGCTGTATTAAAGCCCGGTTGAAACAACTGAGAGCAACTGACCGAATGGACAATTTTTACTATATAGAAACCTCCCACACAGTAAAAAATTTTGTGTTAAAAACGGTCCACTGAAATTTGGTGTTACTTTAACACGGGGGGCCAATGCGTTAAAAAAATACACGAATATGTGTTAAAAAAATCTTGTCAACATATATTAACTAGATGAATGTATTGATTTAATAATATATTTGTGTACTATTTCACACAATCCCCGTGTAAAAGTAAAATTTCAGTGGACCGTTTTTGGCACAAAATTTTTTACTCAATTAACCAATCGTGATAAAGAAATCTTTGTTTTTTTTTTATGATTGGTCAGTTGAATGCTATTCTACCTGTCGAGTAGAATTATGGGGCGCAGACCTACAAGAATCCCCGTCCCTACAAACGAGTTTTCGTTCGGTCCCTGGACAAGGGAAAATTCAATTGCCCCAACGGAGTCGTTTCTCCCGTGCAACGATGTCCGATATATTATTTTCATCATATTTTTCACAATCCTTCCTAAATACGCGTTTCGTAGCATCAATGTTATCGCAAACAACTTTCGGATACATCGATACTTTTGAGACACTTCTACAAAACCCGAGAAAATATGCGATAACGAAGATAAGGCTCGAGAAATGCACGCAACGCAAAGTCGATACTTGAACATGCTGATCTAACGTTTCTTGTTTATCGGCTTGTCACCGCTGAATTCGTTATTTTCTGCTTACTCGCAATTCGACATCCGTATCTGATACGAAGTATCCTTGAAAAAAAAAGAGAGAGAGAGAGAGAAAGAAACGCAGCAGTTCCGTCTTCAGTGCTCGGATCCATAAAATAGCCGAAGTGCGAACACTACTTTTTCGCACATCCCGCGTTTTGCGGAAGTGACTCGCGAGGAGAGAGAGAGAGAGAGAGAGAGAAACCGCAGTCGATACTTCTGATTTAAGAGGACCTGCCCGCCAACCGCCTCCTACGATCGGTACGTTCCTGGCACCGCGCTTGGTGGGGGCAGAAGGAGCGGAGAGCGAGGGTGTCGGTCGTTCGGTCGGCGCACAGCGAACAGTGGTGAGCGGACTCGTATACCGGCTACGGGGTCGTCGAGTGATGGACGAGCTCGCGCGCACCGTGCAATAATCGTCGTCGAGGAGAGGAGGCCCCGTGTCTCGCGCGAGGACAGTCGCTCGCTCGGGAAGAGCGGAAAGCCGTCGGGCGGAAGCAACGTTCTCTGATCGCCGAGAGGAGGAGGGCTTCGATGCGCCAGGATGTGAAAGAACTCCGGAGTCGTGAGAAGAGACGCGCAAAAGCGAGCCACCTTGTGCGGGAGAAGCGTGTCTCCGTCGGTCCTCGTCGTCAGTTCGACGGGATTTCCGCAGTGGTTCAGTGCTCCCCCTCGGCGTTCGCGCGAGAGTACTCGAGAGGGTGGGTGCGATCAGACGCGAGCTATCGAGCGGCCTGCTCGCGGGGATGCACGTGCGTCGCGGTGCATCTCGCCGGAGATAGGAGGCGGACACACGTCTCTGGCGCGCGGCGAAAAAAAAAACCGTCACCTGTCAACCCCGGCGATGGATCATCCGCGGGAGGAGGGGCGGTGAGGTGCGATCGGATCGACCGGTCGACAACGTCGAGTCTCCTCGTGTCACTCGATACAGCGTCGTGTACACATTGTTGTTGTCTCTCTCTCTCTGTCTCTCTCTCTCCCTCGCGACACATGTCCCCGTCGTGTCGGCGAAGCTCGCGCGGCGGATGCTGCTGAATACGGCGAGAATCTCTCTCGAGATATCGGGATCCTCCTCTTCCGTTCGGCGGAAGAGGATCGCCGCTGTCACGCGTATCGCCACTTAATGCGCGAAACACGAGCGTGTACGGACGTCGACGGCGGCATCGAGCAGCATCGGACGCGGATTTCTTCCGAAGGGGAAGACACCTCGTCGGGAGACGGCGGATGCGACGCAATTCGTCTTCGCGAGTGAACGACGGTTATCTTATCGTTCCAATTATTAAACTTCGGCTGGGAAAGAACGCGGGTCGATTAGCGTTATCTCGTCGGTAGCTGCTGAGAGGAAAAAATCTTGCGATCATTCTAGTCGTGTCGCGTCCACCTTGACGAGACCTTGACAGGACTTCGACGGGACAGCATCGAGCACGTTTCCAGATCTCATAGGAAGTCCCTCTCTCTCTCTCTCTCTCTCTCTCACTTTTCCAAGTCTAACTCCGCACCCTGGTCGACGACGTTGCATCGGATATGCCACCGAGTGCTTGTCCGGAGCGCGACACGTCGGGACATCGTCAGCGGGAGTTCCGTATCGCCTTCTCGTCGGCAAGCCAGCGACAACGCGGAGCGACTCCGAGGCGAGTTTCACGAGCTGCGAGATCCGCGACTGAACGTTGATTCCATCCGTGAGGGACACCCCAGCAGGATGTTGCCGCCGAGCGCGATCGACGTGCAGAGCTTCGCGCCGCGCTGCGACGTCAGCACCCGCGGCCTGCTGTCGGAGACGATGTGCGCGGAATTGCGGCCCGATGTGACGGCTACCTCGACGTGTCACATCCTCGAGGCGCGCGCGGTCGCGAGATGCCACGAGGAGTTCGACGAGACCATCCGCACCGCCTCGGAGCCGGAGTGTTCGAAGCGGAGGATCGAGTCGACGACCGGCGGGAGCACCAGGTCTATGGACGGCCGCTCGCGGCAGGGCTTCTCCAAGGGCTCCGCCTCTCTGCAGAGCCTGGTTCGCCGGAGGAGCCGACGACACGGCGGCTCGTCCTTACCTCTGGAGGCCGAGCTGTCCTCGAGGCAGGCCGTCTATCCCGCGGACCTCGTCAGGGATAACGCGGCGATGTTCCGGAACGGGGAGGAGGAGACGCGAACCGCGACGCCGACGTCGACGCTCATCTACGCGAGCTCGTCGGCGCAACCGTCGACCTCGCGGGCCGACAACAACGCCCAGGACGTCTCCTCGTCGGCCAGCAACGTCGTCACCAGCGGCAGCAACGCTACCTCCACGACGATCAGCGGCAGCGGCGGCGGTCGTTTCGGCAACACGGCGGCGGTCTCGTTGCCGAGAAGCGCGACCAGCGTCGCGACACCGGGACCATCGACTTCCTCCTGGAACAACAGCGTCGCCGAGCAGGAGAGCGATTACGTGGTCGACCCGGTGCAGGGCAACGCTTACCACAAGGGTTACTTCCTCGGCAAGGTAAGAGCGCATTCGTGTGTGGGCGAATTTCACGCGAGCGCGAGATTTCACCTGGCGCTTACGACGCGCCTGTCGTCCGCGAGGAATGCGCGTCGTCGTGGGAATCCGCGGGTCGCTCGTTACGATTCGTTCGACCAAGCCGTCGACCTTCCCCGCCTTCGGTATACCGTTCCGTTGCTCGTATATATACACATACACACACACACGCGTACACACAGACGCGCGTTAGCAACAACGCGCGGCGTTTACGACGCTCTTTAAAACCTGTCGCCCAACCTGTAAATCGGTGAACGTAATTGACCGCGCCGTAATCCTCATTGTTTCGCCGGCGAGCACGCTGTCACGGCTGATCAGACCGGAGGAGAGAAAGAAAGAGAGAGAGAGACGAGCGTGCGAAGAAAGGAGAAGTCGATCGCGCGCGCGTCGTGAATCGAACGTCGGGGGCTATGATGTTATCTCGTCGGCGCGATTCTCCGGCAGTATTCACCGCGACCATTTTCACCGATATATAATTCATCGTGCAGCGGATTATATTCCAATTTTCTACCGTGAGATCATCGCGCATTACGCGCATTACGCGCGCCCCCTCTCCCCCGTAAGCGGCGACGATAGAAATCGCCGTTATGCAAATCCGAGGCGATTGAAACGCGCGCGCGCGTCTACGAGCGAGAGGAGACCGTGTCGGGTTCGCAAACTTTGCAGAATCTCTGCGCCGAGACCTTTCAGCAAGCAATCCTTGCGATTATTCGTACGCGGAGATAATAGAGACAACCTTCCTCTATGTTTTAATAACGCTTACTGCTGACATTTTGGTCTGCAAAAAAGTGCAGACACGCCGATAGCTAGAATATAGTGATTTTTACCTGTTATTTGCGTTAATATAATTTGGATTTTTTTTTTTATTTAAATATTGATCTCTAATTTTTGACACTACTGAACTTTATGTTTCCCAGTAAATATCAATTAATATTAGCATTACAACAATTTTGTAATTTTCTGTTTAACGATATAACTGTTGTACACAACGCATGTTATATTGCATTTGAGTTGTTAAGTGAGAAAATATCACATTGGTGTGACTCTGGTAGAAATTTCATGCATTTTTTAACAGTTACTGGACACTTATATTAACTTCTGTCTGGTAACTGAGGAATAAAATTATTTGGGATCCTAATTGAGATATAACGCTTTTCCTGCAGTTATTGTGTATAAAAGATGTGTAAAATTCGAAGTCATTTATCAAACGAAAACAGAACAATAAATAGACAAAAATCTATTCAATTGATTAATAAGCAAGACTGCCGCTCGTGAAATGTGCAGTTTTGTCCTAGAAATACCCATGGATAAAACTCGGTCAAGTTCTGGTCCGTTTTCTACGCAGCATTGTTACAACTAGTGAGAATGCATTAATACTAAACAGTAACTGGACGGGTGTCTAAGAAAATTATATACATTTCTACCAGAAAATGTTACTGTTAGTTGATGTTTACTGGGTTTTCTTGGAAACGTAGCAAGGTTTGCCCAACTAGAGCTATATAATCAGGTATCATTCTCGAGTTTTCAGGCAGCTGAATATTAGTTTGCCAACTCCACTCATTCATATACTGAGAAAGAAGACTTAAAAATTTATTCGTGAAATATAAGGTTTATATCGCAGAAATAAACGTTTATTTAAATACGACGAAATAACATTGTATTCCTAGCAAATAAACCAATGAATAAAAAAACTTTGATATATTTTATAAAGATATATATTCCGTCATTACAGTCAAATCTTCTAACCAATAAATATGGAAAAAAATGCCACAAGAAGTATTTACAAAATCCTCAAAATTTTAAATTCTTTTCCTCTGCATTCTCGATTTCAATAACTTCATTTTGATAAAAACTTGTTTTTATTACACAAATTATACCGCTGTATGTGATAATTGTATTAACTTTATTCATTGCACTCGGCTACTATTAAATTAGGCTTTTTCTTTCTTCGATTGCAATATCTTTTTCGATTCTGGTAAAAAAAACTCCGAGAAAAGTATCTGTGTCCTGAGGAGAATCTTTTGCGATTTCTTTTCCATCGTTTCTCTCTCGCGATAGATGGATAAGCGAAACGCATGATCAACCTGCCGCTTATGCCAACCTGCCTCGTTCTCTCCCATACGGGAATTCACTCGGGTGACTTGATTTTCGCACAGTCAGCCTCAGGTACGACGTTCTTCCTGGAGTAAATAAAACGCCGAGTGATGAGAGCCTCGCGATACCGAGAGCGAGTCGCACGTAGAGCGACGAATCGCGTGAAGCAACGACCGAATTCGCTCGCGTTTCAGCCACGGGGATTAAGTTTTTTTCATTAAGGACCTCGTGTGGGCGAAGCTCCGATCCGAGCGAGAAACCGGAGCGTAGGCGGTGAGTCACACGACGCTGCTCATTTTCGCATACCGGGAATACTGACGTGGTGGAGTTCCCGACAACGGCATTTTTCCACGAAAAATGATCACGGACGGCGAAGGAACAAATGCGAAGCTGCTCCTGGAACTTTTGCCGGAACGCCCGGATTAGATATATGCTCTCGACGGTGAATAAGACTCGAGGCACTGACATCGTTGTCGGCGAGCTCGTATGAAATTATCCTACGCAAACAGTTCCGGATCGCCCTCGACGCGGCCCGTGTTTGTCGAAGATTGCGATAAAACGATGCTTACTCATTTCCGGAAGATACGTTGCCATGGCTAAATTGTAAAATCCTAATGTCTAACTTTTGAGAGCTTCCAACGCCAAAAGTGCTCTCCGTATCGTGCGATTACTTTTTTTTCAGAAGTGGACGCATCGAACTCGGCTCAAAGAGATTAAGAGTTAAAGAATGATGAAAATAATTCTCCGAGACTCACACGCACACACCGAGGAAGGGAGAGAAAAATCTCCGAGATAAAAAATTTCTATTCGATGGGCACTAATGTATTTGAATAAATTATTGAAATATAATTATACGTCCATGATCGAATAAATACATTTTTCGACATTTTGTCTCTCAGTGTAGGATATCTCGTGCGAAACAGAGAAAAGAAAGGAATAAAAATCCTTTTTTTTTTTAGAAGGAAAAGAAACTTCGCGAAAGAGGAAGATTTTCCAAGAGAGGAGAAAAGGATAGCCGGTTCCCTGTGCGCGCGTGTGTGGCGACCGGGATGGCAGCGGGATATGCAGGACGGAACGGCGGCTTGGATTCGTAGACAGCGCGTAACACGGTTCGGACACTCGCACGTATCGGATGGCGTAAACACGCCGCGGCATTTAAAGCTTTACCAGTCTCCATCTTTGATCTCTCCGCCGTCGCTCGATGGCACCTATTTTACCCGGCGCCGAATCCGCCGTGCGCCGCGTGTCTAGCCGAGTCATTGACTCCGCGTCATGCATAATACATCATCAGTGAACCGAGGTCAACGACTCTTCGCACCAAGGTCGGGGCGCGAGAGCATCGCGGGAGCACCTTGTTTTGCATCACCGCGATAATTAACGGATCAACGGCCGACATTTGTCGCCTCCGGTGAACCGAAAATCGCGCGTCGTCCACGTGCTCGTCTCTCCGCGAGTCGCTTGGCGGGCCGCGCGCGAGCGGTCTTCTCGCGCCACCGAGACAAATATCGAGCTCTCAGGCGCGCATCCTCTAATTGCATCCCGCCAGTGTGTGGACAGAAGCGATTTGATCGCGGATAATTGCGGCGTTTAGGAATTACCAGTTAGATGCGGCAGGGTTCGTTTAACGCGCCGCGCTATCCTCCCATTAACGTCGATTCGTAATCCGCCCCGACATGCGAAACGGCGCGTCGTGTACCTTCGGGGAGTGCATTAAACGCCAGTTATCGATCGTTAAACGCTCGTTCTTCGTTAATCCGGTTTTGACAAGTGAACTCGGCGCCGGCCGAGCGTCGAAGAGGAAGGCAATTTCGATCGTACGCTAATAGAAAATTAAGCTGCACTCGAGAACACACAGTGAGAGTTAGAGTGGCATTTCAGTGATCAATCGTGATAAAGAAATCTTGGTTCTTTTTGGTCGGACGGGAAACGGAAGGAAAATAAAAAAAACAGGGGAGAGAGAAACTTTTCCCTTTTCGCGCCTAAGAACGAAGCCGTCGGCGATTGCCTGTGCCTTAGAGAACGATTTTTCAAGCTCGCCGACACAACCAAAGTCTATTAGCCATTAGTCGAATTCATTTATTATTCATAAGGCGGCGGCGCGTTTTATCCCGGCAACCCGGTTACATAATGAACGTCAGTAAATTGTTTATTACACGCGGCGGTATTACTCAAACTTGTCGGATACTGTGTTTTTTGTTTCGGGACGGCTTCTTTGAAAACGGAGACGCCACGAGAATATTTCTCTCTCTTTCTCTCTTTCTCTCTCGCAATTATCGTTCGCGCGTACATACATATACAGGGTGAAGCGATCGCTATTATACCACCTCGGATATCTGCGAAACGTGGAGGTAGGGGGGTGGGGGGGAATCTAATGAAAAACTTTGCACCACCGATGCACAAATGGTCGTCGCTTCGGACACCTTTCGTAAAAGTAAATCTTCATCTGCTCGTTGACAAGACGCATATCTCCACTCCTCGAAGATACTCAAGGCGAAACTTATCGTCTCACCCTATATATATTATGTACCCTCGCCCTGGCGCATCGCTTTCCAGCGCGCGGAAAGCGATTAAAATAGTTCGCCGAGATTACGAGGCGAGCGAACGCGGCGCGCAAGGAGGCGAGAATAAATATGACCGAGCGCGGGGAACTCCGTTCCTCTCGTTTTAATTAAAAAAAAAAAAAAGAAGAAAAAAAAGACTCGCGGTCGCGCTCTCGGTTATGCTGCTCGGGTACACCACGGCTACACGCGCGTGCGCAGCACACCTTCGTATCATCACCCGCAGCAAGGAGAAGAAGAAGAAGTTCGAGTCACCTCATTATCGTTACATCAGGTAAACTTCACTCAGCCAACACACCCGGGGCACTCCCC